TCTAGAGCAATCCCTTCCCCTTTTTGAAAGGGTTACCCTTTTTTAACTATTTATCTGCAGTGTGTTAGTTTTCAGAAGTCAGTGTAAACTCTTGAGTAGAATTACTTGCTCCTTCGGTAACTGACTATATGTTAAGAAAAGGCACTTACATATTATTTTCACCAGATATCTACTAGCTTCTGTAGTCCTGTGGAGCTCTCCAAAAATGCACTCTAGTTGAATTTATAATTACTTGTGGATTTTGTACCAGAGAAAGATTTTAAAGGATTCTGGCCCAGTTAAGTGTGTTTTGGTTTAACAAGGAGACTAGAAATGCGTAAAGATTCTTTGATGATGATGAAAGCGCATTGCTGTCTCTGTGGTTTGACTGCTGGCCCAGCAGACGGGGTAAGACTGGCACTGTTTCTTTAACGTGGACCTAGTATGCCCTACTCTGTACTCACCTGTGTCAATGCAGCTCTCCTGTAGACAGTGTAAAAGGAGTAGCAGGTTTTAGCCTTCATCACATTTGAATTTATTAGTCTTTATTTAGTCTTGAGAATAGTCAATCTGAAAATATATACAGTATCTGTATTTTTTTAGAGTAACAGATTATTCTTGGACTTTTCATTTGTGTTCCATCAGTTAATCCACAGTCACAGTTTAAAAGGCCAAATTTTCTCTGAGAGCAAAAGCCCTCTTTAAATCTTTGAATGTCTATGTGTATCACAGATTACAACCTGCTGACCCTGTACCTAGTCATTTCTAAAATTTTTTGCTTATTGAGATAGTTACTTTAAAACTAATAGATGAGCCACGGCTCACTAGGCGAATCCTCCACCTGTGGTGCCGGTACCTTGGGTTCTAGTCCTGGTTGAGGCACCGGTTCTGTCCCGGTTGCTCCTCTTCCAGTCCAGCTCTCTGCTGTGGCCCGGGAAGGCAGTGGAGGATGGCCCAAGTGCTTGGCCCCTGGCTTCGGATTGGCACAGTGCGCCAGCCATAGCAGCCATTTGGGGGGTGAACCAACCAATGGAAGGAAGACACCTCTCTCTCTGTCTCTCTCTCTCTAACTCTGCCTGTCAAAACAAAACAAAAAGTAATAGATGAAAATAAGCCAGTATGAAAGTGTCTTAAAAGTGTTGAGAGTGAGCAGAGGACTAGAAGTACTTTGCCCTTAGAGCACGGTTCTGGGTGGAGTTATAAATCATGTGTGTTTTGCCCACAAAGCACATGCTAATATTAAGTTGTTTTTAAAGTGATTGTGTTGCATCACCATGGTTCTTCTGTGTTCTGTAGGGTATCATGTTGCTTTAATGTAATGAACCAAGTCCTCAGCTCCTAAATCTCCATGCTGGAAATGATTACATAAAACTGACTGGCTATGTCTGAAGGCTTATGAATCTTGAGAATTTCTTCTTCTTTGGGGGGGAAAAAACCTTACAAAGACTTTTCTTATTCTTTGAGGGGAAAGCCCTGCATTTGTAACATATTTCTGTTGAAAATATCAGTGATTTTAGGTTATATACCACTCTGAAAAATAGGCATTATCTCCACTGCAAGGTCTGTGTTTTAACTTTGTGCAGATGTGTGCTAAAAGAACATGATGTGCTTATTTGTTGCATTTATGCTACTTTCTTACTTTAAGTAAGATGGATGAAATTACATATTAAATAAAAACAGCAGCTCAAACAGCAGTCCTTAGCAAACTGAGAAAGCCTTGCAGAGACAGTGGGGAAAAATGAAAATATGACTTTAATAACTCATTGACTTTTGAGAGAACTGTTTAAAAGCATGTGCGTAATGATTTATTTGTGGGATTTGCTCAGTGTTAACTGTCTGTTGTTTAAAGTCAATCTGCCATTTAATTGTGTTGGTAAAATATTACCCAAAATACTGTGTTTTCTACCTTAACAAATGTAGCACATTGCCTTTTTTTATTTTTTATTTATTTATTTTTTTGACAGGCAGAGTGGACAGTGAGAGAGAGAGACAGACAGACAGACAGAGAGAAAAGTCTTCCTTTGCCATTGGTTCACCCTCCAATGGCCGGCGCGGCCGGCGCACTGTGCTGATCTGAAGGCAGGAGCCAGGTGCTTCTCCTGGTCTCCCATGCGGCTGCAGGGCCCAAGCACTTGGGCCATCCTCCACTGCACTCCCGGGCCATAGCAGAGAGCTGGCCTGGAAGAGGGGCAACCAGGACAGAATCTGGTGCCCCGACCGGGACTAGAACCCGGTGTCCCGGCGCCGCAAGGCGGAGGATTAGCCTAGTGAGCTGCGGCGCCGGCCAGCACATTGTCTTTTGCATTCCTTTGGTTCTACAGACACGTGAAACTCCGATTAGTGAGAATAGCTGTGTGGCCTCAGGTTGTTTAACCTCGTCGAACCTCAGTTTGCCTTTTCAGATTGTCATGTTTCAATGAGAACATCCTTGCATCATGCTGTCCTGCCAGCACACATCTGCCAGTGCAGCTCACTGGCAGTCTGCTGTGGCTTCCCACACTGTTTTCATTAGGGATTCTGAGCTACAAAGGACATGTATGGAGTAGTGCCTATCACGCGCAGTCCTAACGTGAGACTTTGGAGTACGCAGAATGAATGTTTTTCCTGGGCTGTTTAAGCAGCATGTATTTATCGTGGGACTGCTGAGCATAAAACATTGCTATCATATACAGCGGAAGGTGTTTGAAATCCAGTAAGGGAGAGCCCTATCCAAATGCTTTTCCCAGTTCAGTTCATTCTATAGTCCCTTTCCCCTTTTTTCTTTTTCTATGACTTTGTTCTTAATTTTAAAGAAGTTTTCCAAATAAAAAAAAAAGCACTTGACTTTGTCCTGTGGTCATTTAAAAATAGAGTTGATCAATATGAAGCATTAGCAAGACCACAACTTGGTGCTTTTTTTAAGTGATTTTAGTTACCAGTGCCCTCAGGCTTATGTATGTGAGAATGAAAATGATATATCAAATATGCACTCAGGTTAAACAGGTCAGTTTTTTTCTTAACATCTACATCTACCTTATGCAGAAGTATTTATATGGAAATGACTTTGATAAAGTTAGTTTCTCTCTCTCTCTCTGACACACACACACACAGGCGTGTAACCTTAAGACTCCAAGTAATAAGCTGAGCCTATGCTTTTGTTACTGAGCCAAGACTTGTATAGTGTTTTGGGAAGGTTCTGCCATTTGGTTACTTTTATTAATCATAAAATGGTATTGAAAGTTTTAGATTTACAGCCATGAATGCAATTTTGGGCATTTGAACAGATGGTTGTAAGCTCGAATCTTGAGTATCTGAAAGATGTTCTAAGTAGCCAGTTGCAGACCAGTAAAGCCAAGAAGACAAATACCAGGGAAGCCTGCTCAGCAGGGCAGGAATTATTTAGAAAGTTGTGTAAGGAAGTTGGCTGTGGGCAGAGGTTGTCATGTGTCATCTGATCTGTCAGTCAGAGCTCCAGCAGCTGTTCCCTGTCACCAGGGCCCTGTGTGCTACTGCCCATCTATCAGCACTAACAGATACCGGCTGCCACTCCACCAGGCTGGGGGAGCCACAGACACTCAGACTCACAGTGGGTCTCTTACTGGTCAGTCGGTCTGGATGGAAGCTCATTTCCAAAGACGGAGACCCAGCACTGCTCCTTGGTCTTTTATACACCATCAGCCAGAATATGTCCTCAAGAGAATTAGTTGCATGCTGGAGAAATCTGGTTTTGACCTAAAGTAGGCTGTAGACATGTAAAAAGGCGCACATTAGAACCCAACAAAATGCACTAGTTAAGTGAGAGTTCGGAGAGCTTTCTCCACCACAGACCAGACTATCAGTACCGCAGTGTCACTGAAGAGGCCTTTTCTAGCGGAACACAACAGTGGAAAACACATGAAATCACAAGCATTCCTTTCGCGATGATGCAGCAACCTGCCAAATGGGATACATCCCAGTTCTGATTATAGACAAGCCTTCAGCCATTTCCTTTCTGCCTTGAATTCAAGGGACATCCTTAGAGGAAAGGATTTGAAGGCATTAGTATCACTATCTGTCTGATTACTGTGTTGACATTTTTAAAGTGCCATTAATCATAGGAAATGGAACTTAATGATGTAGAAAAATACCCAGCCAAGGGATGTCAAGAAAGTAAGCTACAGCCCAATATTCACATGAAATAGAAGGGAAATGCATCTTAACCCTTAAGTTGTTTTTTCTTAACTTCTTACTGAACTCCAAGGGGAAGTCGTTGAGAGGTAGTCGTTCAAACAAGGGAAATAGTAACAGAGCTAAAAGGACATTATTAAGAACAGACATTTTATTTTGCAAATAAATATATACGGTGTATCAGTGTAATATTAATCTGTGGTTTATATAATTCAGGTCTTACTGGTTTGCATTTAGGAAGAAAATTTCATTTTTTAAAATATCCTCTCTCATTTTCTCTGTTGACTGGATACTCAGTGTACCTTGATGTAAGTTTATGCATGGCATGACTGTTGATGGAATTTGGGTTATTAGGTCAGTAGTGTACTGCACAGGCTACTACACAGTAGTGTACTCCCATCATGAGCACACGGAAGTAAAAAGCAGTGATCTGGCAGATAAGTAGAGTAATTTTCAAAATCTGGCAATGCTTGAAGCATATTTTGTTGGATTTGGGTAACAACAATTGTTTGCCTATTGGCTAATTTAAATTTAATTACTTTTCCCTAACTGAAAGTTTCAGAAGCTTAGAGTAAATGTCAGCCACTTTGTTGAGATAAAATACATAACAATAAACTATAATGAGTTAAACTCTGCAATGTTTTTGGTACTGACTCTGAGCAGGTAATTCATTTGAAAAAAAGTAGCACAAGAGCCGAAGCCACCTCTACTCTTCCTACCTTTTTTTCAGGACAGAGCATATATTACAGAATAGGTTACTCAATAAGAAGCTTGATATATGGATCTGAGATGAATGAATTTTAGGGTGACCTCTGTAAGGTGATTAAAAAAAGTAATATTGTTGATGTTTTAGGCTTTTTGTTTTTCTGCTACAGGTTTTTATCATTTGTTGGAGGGACACTGTGTGAGATTGGAAAGCCTGAAATGCAACAGAAAATAAATTCATTCCTTGAAAAGGAAGGAATAGAGAAAATTGCAGAAAGATTGCAAACAACAGTACACACCTTACAGGTCATCGTAGATGGTCTCAGTCAGCCTGAAAGCTTTGACTTTCGAACAGGTAAGCTATTGAAAAACAACATCTGGTATTTGCATAGCTCACATCATCTTCTCTGATCCCCTCAATAATCTTGTGTCATCAGCAAAAAAGATTTTATCCTCCCATTCCATACTGAGAAAATTGAAGCTTAGTGACCTTCCTTCAAAGTCATTATTGTTCGTATCCAGAGGCAAAGTTAGAAGCATGATCACCAAACTCTGAGCAGTGCTTATTTACCATCACACTAGAATAAATGCATCATGCATGTTCTGCTGCATACGTTAAGGCACACATTTTTCATCCTCCTTTGTAAGCCACTTCATGTCCCAGACCCAGAAGTCCAGGGTAAAGCATCCCATTCAGAAGTTCAGAGTGACTCTTCCTCCTAAATTACAGCCTTCCAAGTTCATGGGTTCTTTGTCAATGAAGACATTCAACAAATAAGATAATATCTTTCTGTTGATTAAAAGTGTTCTAATTAAAAGTGTTCTCAGCTTTCAGCACAGGTAGTAGATGAGGGAAGTATAACAGCCGTAGTTGTTGAGAGCAATGACCTGGTGAAAAAGAATTAAGGTATCAAATGACCTACTTCCCGAGGAAGTTTGAATAGGAACCCCTGAGATTTAAATGACTCTGCACACTCGTCCCATGACCAGTTCTAATGATCCTGCATTTAGGGTTTGGCTCTTTTTCATTCTGAGTTGGTCTATGCTAAGGTGGTTAGATGTGCTTCTTTGGAAAGATTAAGGGAATTTAAAAAGCACACCCAGCAAGTATATTGTACTATTCCCTCAACTCTTCTGTAAATTTTAAATTAAAAAAAAAAAAAAAGTATCAAGGGAAACCATAACACTCAGTAAGACCTACACCAAAAACATGGGAGCAGAAGCCTTCAGCGGGTGCTCTGCACAAAGCTGCCGTTGCAGTAAGCGGATCTGTCTCCACTTGGAGGTCAGGGATGCTTTTATGTGAATTCCCTGGTGTTGTCTAGCTCTAGCTTGAATACTAAGTAGAACTAATACCGAATCCTCAAACAGCATGGTGTTTGGTGTTGGTATGCCTATCAGGAGCTGGCAAATGTGAAGGTATTTCAAAAGTTGTTGAAAAAATGAAATTCAAAGATAAGTTTATGTTGGTACAAAAGAATTTGAAATCTATAAATAGTTTATTCATAATAGGCATTTTCAAGAGTTTTTTGAAGTATCCTTGTGTACTCTAGCTGCAGGTATCCTTTACTAGATGCTCTTGTCCATCTTTGAGTTTCTGTCATGATGTTGATTGGCCCACTATCGCAAATACACTGTAGACTAAGAGCAAAGACCAATATTTAAGTTATAAAGTCCAGTTAAACCACAAACAAGCTAAGTAGTATAGTGGTCCTTACCTGGGATACCTTTAGTTGAACAGAAACAGATGCGTCTAGGCTGTCCAGTTACTGTCTAGTAACTATCCAGTTCAGTGTTTTGTGGGGGTTTTTTGTTGTCATTGTTAATAAAAGATTTATTTATTTGAAAGGCTGGATCAAGTGCAGCCAGGAGCTGACACTCCTTTATGGGATGCTGGCATGGCAGGTGGCAGCTTAAGCTGCAGCACTACAGTGCTGGCTCCAGATACTGCAGTGTTTAACAGAATGGCACATGAAATTCCAAATTGGTCTCTTAAAAAAAACCCTTCATCTACTGATTTACTCCCTCAAATTGCTGCTATGGCCAGGGCAAAGCCAGGAACCAGGAATTCCATCCTGGTTTCTCCCAGGAGTGAAGGGCCCAAGAACTTTAGCCATCTTCACTGCCTTTCCAGCTGTATTAGCAGAGAGCTGGATTGAAAGCAGAGCAGCCAGGACTCCAAGGGACCCTTTAATGTGGGATGCCGGCATCACAAGCAGCAAGTTCACCTGCTGTGCCGCAAAGCTGGCCCCTCAAATAGTCTCTTTCAGCAAACTTTGGAACTGACCTTTGCCTATGTAAAAGTCACAATTTTCAAGATACTCTGAGAATTGTTTCATTGCTAGCCACCACACCAAGGGGGAAGGCAAGAGCCGCATTTGAGGGGGCATCTCCACAAGGTAGTAGCTTCTGTTACCTCTCTTGTCTCCATTTTCTCAAAAGTAGTTCCTTTCCCATTCTGTCTTCTGTTCTCGCTGTGATGTAAGCAATTCCATTGCTATTAACACTCTGGGTTAGTTTCCAAAATTGGGTTCCTCAGAAGCAGCCTGGTCACAGTGGACTGGATATTGCTGCCCTGGCTATCAAAGTGTTACAGTTTACATGGCACAGGGAGGATTTTCTGATTTCTCAGTGGCCCAGACTGTCTTCAGGAACATGTTAAGTAGTTCCTGACTCTGATTTTCCATGCAAAATTAAACTAAGCAGCTGATCAGAAACCCTTGGGGAATCTGCAGCAGCTGGACCTCTGCAAGAAATGCAGCGGGGGAGAATTTCCAAGCATAAAAGCGAAGGCTTTCTGGGCCTCAGAGTCCATCCCGCCTCTGGCCCTGAGCAGCGACTTCGTTTCACTTTGCTTTGACGCAGCCCTCATCCAATGTGATATTACATTACCATTGGCTTCTTGCTTTTTCGAATTCAATACTTCAGAATCAGGTGAAATTCTGCAAAAGCAATTGCAGTTTTAGCATGTTCTTTTTTTTTTTTTTACGGTGAAAATGAGATTCAGAGTTTAAGGAGGGTTTTTGTTTTGTTTTACAGGAAAAAAGCTTAATTTTTAAGAAATACTGCTTTCAGTATGGTTGGACTGGGAGGGGGTGGGGGGGCGGTGGAGGAGGTGACCAGTTGTTAATACAAATGTAAAGGATAGCTTTAACAAGTAATCAGGATAAAGCCAACAGCTGTGGAGGAAAAGGAAATGGACTGGGTGGAGGGGAAAATGAGGTCTTAGTAAAAGGAGCTCCAAGCATAGAATGTGCTCTTTGTTATTAGAGTCAACACTCAGTAATCCTAGGAAAGGGGGCAAGAAGAGCCTGGCTCAGTGGAGGCCTCAGATAACTCACCGCCCCGTTTGCGCAGGTAGTTTTAACTATCTCCCTCATCGAACCTGTGGTGTCGTTTCTGTTGTACCAAAAGCCATAATGATCCCCTGGCGTACTTTATGCCCGCCGTTGGAAGCGTGGTGTTAATGAACAGAGAAATGTACACTTGAGTCAGCGAGCACTGAGGGCCATAAGGGACCTGCGATCTCTAGCACCCAGCGGAGTGCCTGGCCGGGAGATAAGAACAGGAATTAATAAAGGTTTGATGAATTGAACTGAAAGAAGATCGCTTCTCGGCCTTTGGGCTAAGATCAAGTGTGTGAAAGAAGATTAAGTACTATCTGGTCTGGGTTTCTGGACCATAAATAGTCAAGAATCCATAAATTTTGATTGGATACATATATTTGAAATTGATAGAAATTGGTTCCTGAGTTCCAAATTTATAGGAAGAAGTGAGAGTGAGGACATTTGAATTTCATCCACATTTGACCAAAAGTTAATATACTTTCTACCACCTTTAAATAATTTCAGCCCCCAAGCATTGAAGAAAACCTCCCAATCTCCTGCCTCCATAGGTCTTATGTTCTTAGTGTTTGTATTTAGCCTTGTGCTTTCATTGAGAAAGGTGTTTTCTCATTGTGCTGATGTCAGACTAGAGTTAGGGGAGAAGAAAGTGTTTGAATAAATTTCCCAGAATTGTTTCTACCGTGTGAAAGCTGCTTTTTCCCATTTCATGTATTTTCTCTGAAGGCAGGCCTGTGTCTTCAACTCCTTCTCTGTCTCCCCTCAAGGGATAATATTAGTCTGGGCATATAATCAGTATACGGTAAATGCTTACTCACCAAGTTACATTGTGTCTAGGAAGTATGGTGTCTGATTTCTCACAATGACTTGTTTTCCCTTTCCATACAGATTTTGATAAACCTGATTTCAAGAGAAGCATAGTCTGCCTGGAAGATCTGCAGGTTGGGACAGTGCTTACAGGCAAAGTTGAGAATGCCACTCTGTTTGGAATTTTTGTAGATATAGGAGTAGGGAAATCAGGGTTGATTCCCATTCGAAATGTAACAGAAGCGAAGCTTTCCAAAACGAAGAAGAGAAGGAGTCTCGGGCTGGGCCCCGGAGAAAGAGTGGAAGTGCAAGTACTCAACATTGACATCCCACGATCTAGGATAACTCTGGACCTCATTCGGGTGTTGTGAGTGTCCTGCGGAAGACCAAACACGGGTTTCATTGCCTCGTTTCTGCAGGTTGCCAAGGATAGTCACATGTTTATGAATTCTGGCTAGTAGATGAGAAAGAATTCACTTTCTATCAGAAGTCTTTTCCAAACACTTATTCTTCCTTCTGCATAAATAGAAAACAAATAGCTTGATTTCTTTTTCCCTCAGAGAAAGCAACTAGTAGTCATCTTTATATGGCTTTATGTAGTAATGGTTTTCTGACCAAAATTTTATTTTTTATAATTTATCTTCAACTCTTTTTGAATTTTGTATAACAGATTACTTCACCTCTACTTGCCAACGTCTCCTTCTATGGGATTGTATGGAGTTGTCTTCTTGATTTGGATTGTACAATGTCTGTTGACACAGAAGGGCTGGCATTGTTTAATTCTCCCATTTTATATATTTTCTATCAGGCTTTTGACTTGATTCATGATTTTGCAATAATCTTGATTTTCCCTTGCTAAGTAAACTATGCCAGTCAAACAAATTCTGATGTGTTTGTAACCATCAAGTGAATGGATCAAAACATATTGCGGGAGGACATATGTATGAATTCCTACAATAAAGTTTTGTGGCTAATCGTCTGTTTTTGCATTTTATTCAGTGAATGATCTAGAAGTCAACATTGATTAATGAAAATGTGGTTCATGCAACTGTACCTTTGGGGAAGAGGGAAGCTCTGGAAGTTTGAAGAATGATCTTATCTGACTTAGCTTAGCACAGAAAGGTATACTCTTTCTTAACCTTCATGATAAAAACCTCAAAAAGGGATAAAGATGGCCTTCTTAAAGCCTGACAATAGATGAGATGTAAAAGGACAAGAAAAACAAGTCAATAAAGGAGTGGCTCTTACTGTTTTTATTCCATGGAGATGGTGTTAGCTGGCCTGTCAGGGTAAATGATTTAAACAGAGTCTACACAGGGACTATATCCTGTCCATTCTGACTACTCCTGCCTTTGTTGATTTGCCTAATGAAGTTATTTGCATAATGGAGTACCTGGTTTTTTCCATGGGTAATGAGTGGTGACCAGGTTGATTTGTTTGCCTGAGACAGTGCTAATGAGCAAAGATTTATTTTATTTATTTGAGAGAGTTACAAAAAGAGGTGTAGAGTTAGAGAGGTCTTCTATGCCTTAGTTCACTCCCCAACTGGTGGCAACAGCTGGAGCTTGACCGATCAGAAGCCAGGAACTTCTTCTGGGTATCCCTTGCAGGTACAGGGGCCCAAGAACTTGGGCCATTTTCTTCTGCTTTCGTAGGCTATGAGCAGGGAGCTGGATCAGAAGTGGAGCAGCCAAGACTCGAACTGGAACCCATATGGGATGCCAGTGCTGCAGGCCAGAGATTTAACCCACTGTGCCACAGCACCAGCCCTCCGGCATAATTTTTAATAGTACCTCTTTTTATTCTTAGAGTGCCCTTTTTGGGCACTAATCATAGTCACCTAAATAGTGGTCATTTACAAGTTGTGAATGTTCTACCTGGTCGTTTCCTGTCCCAAATTTACAACCCTTTTAAAAAAATTATTTATTTGAAAAGCAGAATTACACAGGGAGAAGGAGAGACAGAGAGAGAGATCTGTCATCCACTGGTTCATTGCCCACATGGCCACAATGGCTTGGCTGAAGCCAGGAACTTAGAACTCCGTACCAGTCTCCCACATGAGTGGCAGGGGCCCAAGCACTTGGGCCATCTTGTGCCTTCTGAGGCACAGCAGCAGTGAGATGGATGGGAAGTGGCTCAGCTAGGACTCAAACTGGCACTCAAACATGGGATGCTATTATCATAGGTGGCAGCTTAACCCACTGTGCCACGACACCAGCCAGCATCCCACGTGAGTACTGGTTTGAGTCCTGGCCGCTCCATTTCTGATCCAGCTTCCTGCTAATGGGCCTGGGGAAAAAAACTAGATGGCCCCAGAATGCTTAGCCTCCTCCGCGGGACCGAGCTGCGCAAGCTGCAGAGTCTGCGCGCAAGTGCTCGAAGGGGAGTGCAACAGCGGGGAGACTTGGGACGTCCAGGGCTCCGAGTCCACACATCGGCACTGGAAGGGGAGCGGACCTGCGTGGAGAGCGTGGGAGCCCACAGTTCGGGACACCAGCGGCAGACTCAACACACCAGCGCTGGAACACGAGGTGAGCCGAACCTCAATAACCCGAGACACCGGCAGGCAAGCGGAGAGAGGAGACTAGAGCGAACGACCCCCGGGGGGTGGGGGGACTTCACCAAGCTAACTGGAAGAGAGAGGAAAAAAAAAAAGGTGACTGGTACGGACACGGGTTTCTCTCTCTCCGCTCACCTCTCAAGGGCGAGCAAGACAAAGAGCAGGCGCCATCTTGGACATACGTCATAAACAGAGCGACCTCAGGTCTGCACCGGCCCTGAGCCTAGCAGAAAAACCTGACTCTGGGGGGGGCGAATTAACAGGAGATTAGGACCTAGTAAATTTGTGGTGCTACTGAACTGAGACTGTGAAAAAAGAGACGGTGGGGGAGAGAACTCACAGAATTCACGTGAGCACTCTCCAGAGACGCTACAATTCCGTAACTTTGGCAACCCAGTGGGAGACTGAAGGAGAATTTGAGCCCACTCTGAGGGCCGAACAGATTCCCTGTGTGGTCCTTGGGAAAGAGCTTCTGATCTCTGGCTCCTGCGGGTATATCATTTGCCTGCTAACTACCTCCAACTTCGGTCAGCTGTGCAGAATAACTTCCCTTTTGAATCGAAAAAAAAGAGAGAGAGAAAAAAGAGAGAGAGAGATTTACCACGCCTAACCTGGGAGTGTCACCTTTGGCACACCAAACAGAGCTCTCAGGCCACACCCATCTCAAGCCCTAAGGCTCCATCAAAAACAGATAGTCCACTTAATCTAGAGTCATAGTATAACAAGAAAAAGCACCACAGTGAAGAAACCAAATATCTCCAATATGCCAAATAACAAACGCAAAAACCAAGGTAATAAAAACAAGGAAGTCACCATGAAGCCCTCAAATGAAAAAGACACCCCAATTCAAGATTATGAGGATGATGACATAGAAGAAATGCAAGAAGCAGATCTCAAAAAATTGATAAGAACATTAAGAAGTTCTCAAAAACAAATTCTTGAACTACAGAAATCCTTAATGGACAAGATAGAAAATCTCTCGTGAAAATGAAATATTAAGGAGGAATCAAAATGAAATGAAACAACTAGTACAACAGGAAACTGGGATAGTGACTGAAGTGAAGAATTCAATAGATCAAATGAAAAACACAATAGAGAGCCTTACAAACAGAATGGGAGAAGCAGAAGAGAGAATATCGGACTTAGAAGACAGAGAACAGGAAAGGATACAGTCAAACCAAAGAAAAGATGAGGAAATTGGAAATCTAAAACATATTGTCGGGAATCTTCAGGATACTATTAAAAAACCCAACATTCGGGTTCTAGGAGTTCCTGAAGGCATGGAGAGAGAGAAAGGATTAGAAGGCCTTTTTAGTGAGATATTAGCAGAAAATTTCCCAGGTTTGGAGAAGGACAGAGAAATCCTAGTACAGGAAGCTCACAGAACCCCTAATAAACACGACCAAAAGAGATCCTCACCACGACACGTTGTAATTAAACTCTCCACAGTGAAACATAAAGAAAAGATCCTAAAATGTGCAAGAGAGAAACGTCAGATTACTCTCAGAGGATCTCCAATCAGACTCACAGCTGACTTCTCATCAGAAACTCTACAAGCTAGGAGGGAATGGCGAGATATAGCTCAGGTACTAAGAGAGAACAACTGCCAGCCCAGAATATTATATCCTGCAAAGCTATCATTTGTGAATGAAGGTGAAATAAAGACTTTTCATAACAAACAGAAATTGAAAGAATTTGTTGCCACTCGTCCAGCCCTGCAAAAGATGCTTAAAGATGTGTTACACACAGAAACAAAGAAACACGGTCATCAATATGAAAGAAGGTAAAGGAAGGAAACCAAGGAAGGAAAGCTCACAGCAAAAGATCACAGGGAATTCAAAGCATATATTAGAACTTATCTTTGGCAAATGGCAGGGCAAAGTTACCACTTATCATTAGTCACATTGAACGTGAATGGCCTGAACTGTCCAGTTAAAAGACACCATTTGGCTGATTGGGTTAAGGAACAAAACCCATCCATTTGCTGCTTACAAGAAACACATCTTTCCAACAAAGATCCATACAGACTGAAAGTGAAAGGCTGGAAAAAGATATACCATGCCAACAGAAATGAAAAAAGAGCGGGCGTAGCCATCTTAATATCAGACACCATAAACTTTACCACAAAAACCGTTAAGAGAGACAAAGAGGGACACTACATAATGATTAAGGGATCAATTCAACAGGAAGATATAACAATTATCAATGTATATGCACCTAACTACAGGGCACCGGTTTATCTAAAAGATTTGTTAACGGACTTAAAGGGAGACTTAGACCCCAATACAATAGTACTGGGGGACTTCAATACTCCACTCTCAGAAATAGACAGATCAATAGGACAGAAGATCAACAAGGATACAGTAGATTTAAACGACACTATAGCCCAAATGGATCTAACAGATATATACAGAACTTTCAATCCTACAGCTAAAGATTTTACATTCTTCTCAGCAGTACATGGAACCTTCTCTAGGATTGACCACATACTAGGCCATAAAGCAAGTCTCAGCAAATTCAAAAGAATTAGAATCATACCATGCAGCTTCTCAGACCATAAAGGAATGAAGTTGGAAATTAGCAACTCAGGAATCCCTAGAGCATACACAAACACATGGAGATTGAACAACATGCTCCTCCTGAATGAACAATGGGTCAAAGAAGAAATCAAAAGAGAAATCAAAAACTTTCTGGAAGTAAAATGAGGATAACAGCACAACATACCAAAACTTATGGGACGCAGCAAAAGCAGTGTTAAGAGGGAAGTTTATATCAATAGGTGCCTACATCAAGAAATTGGAAAGGCACCAAATAGATGAGCTTTCAATTCACCTCAAGGATCTAGAAAACCTACAGCAAACCAGACCCAAATCTAGTAGGAGAAGAGAAATAATTAAAATCAGAGAAGAAATCAACAGGATTGAATCAAGAAAAACATTACAAAAAATCAGCCAAACGAGGAGCTGGTTTTTGAAAAAATAAACAAAATTGACACCCCATTGGCCCAACTAACTAAAAAAAGAAGAGAAAAGACCCAAATCAATAAAATCAGAGATGAAAAAGGAAACGTAACAACAGACACCACAGAAATAAAAAGAATCATCAGAAATTACTACAAGGACTTGTATGCCAGCAAACAGGGAAACCTATCAGAAATGGATAGATTCCTGGACACATGCAACCTACCTAAATTGAACCAGGAAGACATAGAAAACCTAAACAGACCCATAACTGAGACAGAAATTGAAACAGTAATAAAGGCCCTCCCAACAAAGAAAAGCCCAGGACCAGATGGATTCACTGCTGAATTCTACCAGACATTTAAAGAAGAACTAACTCCAATTCTTCTCAAACTATTCAGAACAATCGAAGAAGAGGGAATCCTCCCAAATTCTTTCTATGAAGCCAGCATCACCTTA